TTCTGCGTGATTTAGTGAACGAACTTTAGCCATCTGGGAGTCTTCGTGGTTCCACTCGGCGTGAGGGGTTGCGCGTGCATAGGTTTATGATGACACACGGTCTTAAAAACGGAACACTAAAAGCACTCTTCTTGTGCATGACTCTGCGGAAAAATTATAACTGACCGCCCATTTACACGAACGTTAAAGCTGGCAGTTATTTAAAGAGGCCTTGCAGCGACGGCCAGTAAGCACATGCATTTATAGTTGTGCAATATCAATTTGTCGACATTAAACTTCCCAAATTAAACTTTAAAAAAGTACTAATACTAATAATAAGAGTCCTTAATGTTACTTATATGGCATTGTGGACATTTCTCCTTTTCAAATGATAACCCTCTGATAGCACGTCTATATCGGGTCATTGTTGCGACGCCATCGATATGTTAAGATAGGCGTATCGGTTTTCGCAACTTTGTAAATATGGCCTCAATGTGAACATGTTGAGATAAAAAGAAGCAAGCGGAAATGGTTTGCAACACTCTATAAACGACACGATTATTTAACATACAGGTCTCTACTTAAATTGGAATAACTCTAAACTTACTATGGGGGCATTTTTTGTCCGTGCCTCCACCCCCCCGGCAAGGTTTTAGTCAACCAAGGATCTGGTGATATTTCAAAGATTACAGAAATCTATTTTTAAAAATGCTTGACAAAAGAATAATCGAAAATATGGTCTGTGTGCCAGAATAAACCTGCAAACATAAGGCGTCATATTTATCTGTATATAAAAGGTGAGCCGCGTCTGCATGGATTATTCCATGTCGTACTGCCATGTGTCTCGCCGGGGAATGATTTGAGCAGATTCGGCGGTTTTCTGTAACTTTGGGCGGGCAAAAGCGACCGAAATGTGATTAAACTCGCGTCGTCCGCTGGGGCCTCATAGCTCAGATGGTTAGAGGGTTGGCTGTGCTAAAGCCTCTCCTTGCTGTCGTGAGTTCGAATCCTTTCGAGGCACAGAGTTTTCCACGATTGGGCCAAAAGGAGTTATTTGAAATCTGTCAAAACAACTCCGAATTTAGCCATAAATAAGAACGTTAGATATTCAACTTATCTTATAAATCCACGTTTGCAGGGCACTTGTGGAGCCCTTTCTTAGATGAAAAACGCCTAATGAAGGCAAATTCCATTTTGCGGAGATCCGCTCGACCGTTTTATCCCATTTAACGAAGGCGCTTCCTGCCAAACCTTTAGTAAGCCAGTTAGCTACGTCGTATAGTTTTGATACAAAACCCTTATTTCAACCTCCTTCACCTACAGTTGTCTCCTGAATGCATTTCATTATTAACAACTCATAAAATATGCATTTTTCAGGATAGTTCAAAGTATGATTCCACATGCAGGGGGGCATGATTCCTAGGTATATGTAAAATAATGCTACATGCAACAGGTGTCAGAAATTGGAGTCCCCTGACCATGCATTAATCTTGAAGGAGGCAATGCGCCGACTGGCCGGCAACGCGATTTTATAGACAAGAATTTTAAAAATCTACCGTGCATTTGTTGAGATCCTGCCTGCTCTCTTTACTTCCGTGGGGCGTACAGATTATCGTCTTGTCAAGCTTTAACCACGCTGGTCGTCGTGAATGTCTATTTTGTGGTAGGTCCCTCGGAGAGAACACATCAAACGATTCTTGTGTACAAACGCGGAATGATGATAACAAAGCCGGAAAAACTCTATGGAAGCGTCACAGAGACGCTCAGACAACGTGCGTACAGCACTTTAGGCCGTGGACTGTCCATATAAATCCACTCCCGACTAGTCGCCCAGGACGACACGATATACACTACAAAACCAGTTAATCGTGATTTTTTCCTAATTCAAAGGGACCTGTGAGGGAGTATACGTGACACATCAAAACAAATGTGCAATAAAATGACGCAGGTGATTGACTTGTTTTACTAGCCTGAAAGTCGAACAGCAAAGACAAAACGGAGGTGTGGTGTGCAGTCGGCCGTCCAGGCTGTGGATTGCTTGATCGACGCCTTAGGTAGGTGTAGCGCTCCATTTATGGCGATCTCTTCCTCCAGGGTCTACTCACAGACCCACGGGTTCGCTTTTTAAACGATAGCGCTCGGCGTGTAATCATTCATTCCCTTTTTTGCCAAATGCATTTGTTATATCCCCTCTCTGATGGCAAGTATATATTGACCAGGTATCTACTCGGTGTCGATGAGATAAGGCCATTAACGTCATCTTACATTTCCCTAACTAATGTCATCTTCTTGATTGACTGAGTTATTATCTCTGCCCGTTATCATATTCTTTTACTATTCGGATGTTTTATTGTCCTATAGGACAATAAAAATGTATACATTTTGATGCATTACAACTTATAATGTACACATGGCCCCCCTTCGCTAATGCCACTTCAGGGTTTGTTCTTCCCGCCAGTCAGTTCAGTTTTGCGATTGGTTGACTCAAGTCAACAGCGTATGCAGGCAAGATCTGCCAAGCAGTCCTTTCGTGAGACTGGCGTCAGAGGCCAGCTGCGCCCCGTTAGCAGTCAGGGAAATAGCCATAAAAACAGCCCTATCTAGCCGCTTTTGCATAACTAGTTAGATGTTGCTAAAGTTTTGTCATTTTTCATCTGATTTCTCATGGGTCGTTACTACTAGAAATCCTCTATTAAACAGCCAAGCTCCGAATAAATCGACACTAATATGTAACGAGGTCTTTAAGTGCTGAGGATGTGAGTGAGCGGTAACACTGCGCTACCAGTCGGATGGTCATGTTCCAACAGCACTGATTTTTGCTGTCTGGCTATTTATCTGATCGGCTCAAGCGGTACAATCCGCGCAAGTCCCTGGCCCGAGCAGAATGCCGCCCATTTGAGCAGACCCTTGTTAAACTGAATCCGGGCCTGAGTCGAGGCCTGCGCGCATCTCTGAGACCTTCAAAGCCACCGATGTCACCCATGAGGACAGACTGTTATGTAAATTAGGCCTAGTAGGTATTAACAATCGTCAGTCAAGAACAAAACTAGTCACACATCTGCAAATTAGTTTCAGTCGGAGCCAACGACATACGAGTGCAGTCTTGTCAGGAAAATGGCGCTGTATCGCTGGAACAGGACGTTTACTCGCCCTATATTTCGGATTTTCTGTCTAGTCTATAACCGGAGACAGTCGCAGATATGTGTGGTGAACACACAGGGGGTCCAATATTTGTATGAAGCAGTTGCCATGTAATCACATACCCGCGGTACTTAACAGCTCCCAAATTCTCCACTGGTTTTCGTAATTAATACGATGATTGCCTGCTCGTCCGCATCCAACTCGTTAGCTGCCAAATTTTGGATATTGATGTTGATTAGTGGCGTGAAAATTACCCGGCAGCTTGACTCACTGACACTGTCACTGGAAATGAGGTTCGCCCGCACCCTTCCCCCACGGCCGATTGTTCTGCCCAGACGAAGTTTCAACAGTGAATATGGAGGGGAGGGGGGGGGGGAGATCAATGGGCTTGTTAATGGACTACGGGTCAGAAAACCATGAATCAACCAGTTCGCGGCTTACGCGGTTGTCACATCTCGAGGGAAGTTTGACCCTTTAAAACTTGAAGGTGTTGTCGGGTATCGTCGGCAGTTCCTTATCAGCGACTGTCCTGATGATGGATTTAGGTGAGAATCCGGAAGTCAGACAGGTAAACATCTCGCCCCATTAACATCTTGTCTCCCTGAACTGTTTCCTGAAGTCCAGCGTTTCGCTTCTATCGGCAACGTTATCAGTGTTACTAAACGTGTATCTACCTTGGACGGCCCCAAAGACATAAGTGGGCAGTTAGGTCTATACAATGCAATGGAAATGGGAGATAAATGTTTGAGTGACCTTGAATTGTGCAACGGTGCGAAACGCAGGCAGTTTTCTGCTTTGCCCTGGCATTGCAATTCCCAGAAACAATAAATCACGTAGGTAGTTTAAGGCATAATTTATTTACAGTTGTCTGACTGACAATCCTTCCTCACTAATGAATGCGTAGTATAGGTTCGACCAGTTGGTTTTTTTTGGAACCGTTTGGCCGTATGCTTTCGACGTCATATTGCGAAAACAACATATTTCGCAATATGCTTGGCATCACGCACATTTCCGTTTGCAATCAGATTCTCCTCACCTAACTCCTTTCGTTACTCTGAAGACCGTTTTGGGAGCCTAGAGTGACTACTGCAAAAACCGTGATTTCTGCAACGGATAGGATGGCGTTTTAGTTATGTGGGCGTTGGAACAAGTGCAAAATGGTGTCAACAATTTAGTCAGATGAAGTGGACTTGACATGGCCCCTAGTTCCAGGTCGACCACTCGGGACTTAAAAGTCCGGCGACAGGACTTGAATCGCCTACTACGCCTACCGCTTGCGACCAACTCAAATAAATCCGAGGAAGGCGACAACTGTGTCGCACCCAGCTAAACGACAGTCAACTCGGACAGCGATGTACTCAGACGCGACCCTTGAGGTAGATAAAGGCTAAGTCACTGCAAGGCACCGAAATCGCAAAGTGGAAAGTTGTTCTAAGCAGTCGTCTTTACCCAGATTTAATTAATCGGCGCGTCTTATCTCCGGCTCTGGACCTGCGACGTAAATTCCCCACATAAATCTGATCGGATATACGACACTCGATGGAACATTACTGGTGGTCCGACTTTTTTTACCGCATTCTGCACACGTTATCTGCTCCAGAACGTTGACGTACATCCCAAGACTCCCTAAAACACAAGAGGCCCACTTACTGGAGCAAGAAACGCGCATATTTGTTTGAATTGTACCGTTCCCATCAACGATGCTGGACGTGGATCTGGAACCACGAGGCAAAATAATGTTTCATCGTCCGAATTTTTTTTTATCTACTTTCTGCATCTCGGTTCTCTCTTTGTTTTGGCACGCTTAAATCTCGGGACTTTACTTTCTTCCATTGTAGACCAAGATCCAGGTAACCGGCCAACTCAATCGCCACCCATCAATGGCAGGTATATTAAGTTTTCCAAATGTCTGAGTCACAACTCGACATGGCAGTTGTATGCGAAGTAAAGAAGGCACTTGTAACAAATCCTCACATTTAAGCTAAAGTTTTCCTTGTAATTACCACCGGAAAGTCTAATTTAAGTTCAGAATTCCTCAATGTTTCTCGCCACACAAGTACCTAGGTTACACTTCAGTGGGAAAGGCCAGTGGTTTCTGGCCAAGGCCTTGCTTACTTGCCTTTCTAAATAAACAGCTGAATCTGTTGGACCCGACACAATTGTCGCCCTTAAAATTTGTACTTGACTCAGGCCATCTGCTTGTCGCTTATTTTTGCCATCTTGCGCCTGTTAAGAGAAATTACGTGTAGTTCTGTCGAGCCATCTACACCCCTTATGTCCTATATTATAGAAATAATTGTGTTCATGGTTTTTTTGAAAAGGTTAACACTTGGCACATTACCCCCATAGCTCAAGAAAGTCCTGCCCTCGCCCTCAGAGGTTTCTTTCTCTCTCCCTCTCTCTCTCTCTCTCTCTCACACACAACAATTATTTTTTTAATTGATCTACACTAACACTTTACATGCTTTAAAATCCATGTTTATATCAGTGCAGTTTTTGCAAGAGTTTTGATAATCTTTTAAAAGTCCAGAATAGCACTCGAGAAATAGTAGAAATTGGCTATTTAATAATAACACTAAAATTGCCGATAAAAAGAAGGGAGACTGGGATGGCCATTTCTGGCTTATTAGCCGTCATGTGCCAGAAATGGTCATTCCAGTCTCCCTCGTTTTTTCGGTAGTTTCATTCTGCTTATATTATGCGCCGTTGCGCACCCGCTGGTTGAGCTCGAGAGTGAGCCCGTAAGGCAGAACAGGACGAGCGAGTTCCGTAACACGATCGGTGGGTGCCCCTCTACCAATTGGCCATTTGTTGGGCCAATTAAACTACTCTGTAGTATTTGTACCAGTGATTGCTCAAATAAAGCTACCTTATTCTAATACCTTTCGGTCTTGTGAACTAGGCTTGCTGTCTTTCACTAGGCAATGCCATTTTCGGCAGTGACTTTACGTATAAGAAGATAGCTTATTTGGTGCGCCATACATGACCAGTCGGACATGTCACGGTGCATGATGGTAAAGGGAAGAGAGATAGAACCCGACACCTAGTCTGCAGTTCTGTAAACTATGATTATGCGCTAAAAGTCATAACCTGCAAGGTTTCCGACTGACGGAATAACGCAAATTGCGGATTTCTTTGCAAATATCGTCGAACCAGTCCCAGCTCTGATGGCATGTGCGGCCAAGGGCTTTCTCTGCGGTAGATTGGATAACTCCACTTAGTGCCCTCCATTGGATTTCGGCAGGGGCATTTGAATTCACAGCTTGCCTTTGTTCCACTTTCATAACCATTCATTTTTTAAAATCCATTTGCCGTTCGACTGCATCTAATAGTACGGTAGTTTAACTGCTACTGGCTGACCGCGCGGTTGTCTACGAGGCTGTAGTTGAAGTCTCATTTTGGAGACGACAGGACCGTGGTCTGTCCAGTCATCGGCAGCACACACTGTCTTGGCCACTTGCACTTGACAATGGCCACACCTCCGGACGGGGACGTAGTCCAGCAGCTGCCATTTACGCGAACGAGGGCGCACTCACGTCGTATTCTCTCGGATCGGGGGGCCGAAGGTGTTGGTCGTGAGAAGACCGTGCTCGGCGCAGACCCGAAGGAGGGAGGGAGGAGGAGACCATCGTTGTTGCGGCTGCTTATCCCGTGGCGACCTAGCAGTCGCTCCTGGGTAGCGTGGTCTGTACTCACGCGGATGTTGAAGTCACCAAGGATAGTCAGTTTGTCCGCTTGCGACACAGTCTCTGAGAGGGCGTGTGGATCTTCGAGGAATTTGAGCTTCATGTCGTCGGGACATGTTAGTGGCGGAACATGGGCTCTGAAGATGAGGAAATGTTTTCGCTTCGGTGGGACAGACGCAGTGTCATTAGACGGCTACTGCTGCCCAGCGTTTGGCAACACAAGCGTCTCACCATGCCGTTACTGATGGCAAATACCATTACTTCGCTGAGTTCTTGGGCGTCCGTCCTAGAAGGTACACGCAACACATACGTCGTCCAGCTGTTCCTATTTGAAGAATCCTTGCTCTCTGAGAGCTAAAGTGTCCCCTTTGTAACGAACCAGCTTCCGGTTGCCCAAAGCTGTTTTCTCTGGTTGATTGAGGCAGCAAACATACTAGTTTGCGAGAGTCAGCGGGGTCGCTCTGAAAATGTGGCTTGTACGACAGTCTCCATCCTGCAGAGCCCTTCTGCATCCTCTCCTAAAGTCCTACAACTACAGTTAGCGACCGATCTCATGAAATGTTGGCTGAAATTGTGAAATGTGTTTTCGGTTAGGAAGGTTTACTTAAGCGCGGTTGCAAAACTGATTTTCTTGCGGCATAATTCTATAATATTTCGAACTCGGCAGGACGCCAGATTTTGAATGCACTGCTCTTAAACCTCTCATAAAAACCTTATTGGGCAAGAAATGACTACTTAAGTAGCATGCATTCTTCACATTGATTTTCCATGGTCTTGCAAATTCAAATATATTTTATAGAAACCACGAACAGAAATATACTTTCTTTATGTCGTTCGATGGAGAATCACGTCGTCTTTATACTTTATTCTCGAAGAAGGAGTATAATTAGGTTTTGAAAAAGTTTCTAATTATGAGATTTTTCAAGACCGTGCAATGTCCATTCATACAGCATCGTACCTGTCTGTTTACCACTGCTAGTCATAAAATGTACAACCTGGTCCACATCCATTGCAAAATTTTATGGATCCTATATAGCATCTTTTTAAAGGCATAGAAGAATAAGATATTTTCTTTACGGGAAACATATGCACGTTGTAGACTGAAATCACTAAGCGCTAACGCGACGGCTGATCAGGCTCCAAATTATTCGGGAGTTAAAGTTTTTTAAAAATCTAATTATAATCCTTTTCGAGTGTAAAATATGAAGACGATGTGATTCTCTATCAAACGACTGAAAGAAAGCATATTTTTGTTCCGGGTTTCTATAAAATATATTTGAATTTTCAAGAACATCGGAAATCATTGTAAAAAATGCATGCTAATTAAGTACTCATGTTTTACCGAGTACGGTTTCTACAGAAGATTAACACGTAGAGCATTCAAAAGCTGACATCCTACCGAGTCCGAAATATATTAGGACTATGTCCCATGATAATGAATGTTTCAACCCCACCTAAGTAAACCTCCCTAATCGAAAACACATTTCAGAATTTCAGCCAACATTTCATGAGATCGGTCACTCACTGTAGATTTTCCATGGGATATGCATTTTATCAAATTTAGTAATGGCAGAATTTTACTGCTGTGTTCTAACGGTTCTTTTTATTTGTAAACCCACTGCTTTGCATTCTCAGAGAACTCCTGTGAGAACCACGCTGCCAATGTACCCTGCGCCGACCGCGTGTGGATCGGGCCCTCGGTGCTCAACGGCGATCTCTCCTCCCTTGCTGATCTTTCAGTTAAGTTGCTGGACTCTGGTGCAGACTACCTCCACTTAGACGTCATGGATGGTCATTTTGTGCCTAATATCACTTTTGGCCACCCTGTAGTCGCCTGTCTGAAGCCAAAACTTCCACACTCCACCTTCCTCGATCTACACATGATGGTGTCTGAACCAGAGAAGGTAGCTCTTATACTGCGGCCTTTCCTCTTACAGTCAGTGACCTGTCTCTTGAAATGTTGACCGAAAATCTGAAGTGCGTTTTCGGCTAGGAAGGAATACTTAGATGGAATTATAAGATTAATTAGCGTACAGCATAAGCCCATGATATTTCGAACACGCCAAGATGTTGACTTTTGAATGCACTTCTTTTCGACGGCCTGCAAAAACTGCATTCGGTGGGATGATTTCTTAAGGAATATGGATTTTTGCCTATTGATTTTCGATGATCCCATCAGTTCAAATATATTTTACAGAAAGCATGCACAAAAACAACCTTTCTTGCGTTCAGTTGGTAGAAAATTACTTTTTTTAAAGTTTGATACTCAAAGCAAGGTTGTATTCGGATTTTAAAAAAAGGTTTTTTTCTGAATAATTGTGAGCCCCATCTGCCGTTGTATTTGCGCTTAGGGCTTTCGGTCCACAAGCTGTATACTCTCCGTATAAGGGAACTCATGCATTCCTCTCTGCTATCAAAAAGACAGCCTGTAGCGCTCACAAAATTTTGCAGTGGATGTGGACCATGTTTTAGTTGAAGCCTTATTAAAGTGACTCGATCTTACTGTGATAGACATTGCACGGTCTTAAAAGTCTGATAGTTAGAAACCTTTTTAAAGCCGAGTCTAGAGTCTAAAATGTGAAGACGTAATTTGTTACCAAATAAGTACAAGAAAGAATATTTTTGTGCACGCCTCCCGTAAAATATATTTGGCTTTCTAAGGGCACCTGAAACCAACGGCAAAATGCATGCTGCTTAAGTAATCATTTTCGGCGGGCGTAGTTTTCGCAGACAGGCGAAAATAAGTGTATTCAAAAGCCACCATCCTGTCAGGCTTGAAATATCATGGATTTATGCTGCACGATAAACAATATTGCATCCGGACTTAAGTAGTCCTTCCTAATCGAAGCCGGCTTTCAGAATTTCAGTCAACATATAATGAGATCGGACACCTTTTGTATATCCTTTACCCCCTTATTCTTTCTCTCACAGCAAGTAATTAAGTAGCCCCAACTTCTAGGTTTTACTAACCGATCTTATCACTGGGTCTTCTCAGCCGGTTTTGTGCAAAAAAGACCATTTGGCCTAGGTATTCATGTGATCACACAATAATCCGTTCTTAACAGCCACCATGACAACCAGCATGTTTATCGTCGTCGTCGTAAGTAGCAATGTAGCTACCATGGTCATCCTTATAATTTTTCCTCTGACTTTTCTTGTTTGCACAATTACGTAGGCGGCCTTTTCGATTTTTTCTGTATTCTTTCTCTCTTGACTTTCAGTGGATTGACGGCATGAAGGCGGCCGGGGCCACCCAGTACACTTTTCATCTGGAAGCATCATCCGATGTGAAAACGTGTATTCGTCACATCCGCGAGGCCGATATGAAGGCGAGTCCTCTCCTCCATTCGAGCTAGTAATGCTAAAATAGGCGCAAGCGATCTGATTAACGTCTGAGAAAGAGTTAGCTCCATCCTCTGGCTTTATGGATCGCGAACAGGTATCTATCTGCAAAATTGTGATCAATTTATATCCGTCCATTGAAAAGCTCAAAACAGCTGCTGTTGCGGTTTCCCTGTTCTTGTCAGTTAGCCTCTGGCATCTTAACTGTTTTTTTTATCGAGTGTAACTGTCGCTAATCCGTCGTTAGTTAAGTTGTCCAAAACAGTCTTTAAGGTCGTTTCTTTAGGAGACGTTATTGCGATGTACAGCAGCTAGCACAAGGCTTCGGACGGCCAGTAGCTCAAACAACACATCGCTTTACCAAATAAAGAATTACCTAAGACAACCGAGAACTCTAATGATCTTTTACAGCGAATTCTCAGCGTCCGACATCATTTTTATCTTTACCGCTCTTCACAAAAATTTCCGTCTCTGCTACCACAGCCATTGGAAAAAAAGTCCTGAATTCAGTCACCTTGCCATGTGTGTGACCGTCCTTCTTTTGTCTTCTCCTCAAACAGGTTGGCCTTGGCATTAAACCAAAGACCAAAGTGGAGGAGGTCTTTCCTTACGTGGACCTTGTTGACATGATCCTCGTTATGACAGTCGAGCCAGGCTTTGGCGGCCAGTCGTTTATGCAAGACATGTTACCAAAGGCAAGTCTTCAGCATTTTGCTATTTACTTCCTCTTTCTCCCTTTCGGCCTTCGCAAATGACGAGGCATACTGCTGTTCCACGGGTGCAGCAATGACTTTCCCCGCATTTACTTCACTTCGTTCTGCCCACACGGCAGGACAAAATCATGACAATCTGAGATGGTCCGTATGGCCTGCTTGCACCTGCCACACACGACCTGACTTCACACCTGCCAGACCTCACTGAGGTCTTTTTTGGGGTCTCGTAAGCGACAGTGCCATCGAAGTCACCGTAGGACGTAAAGATTGACACCTGACCCGCAGTCCCCAGTAGAACCTACATATTTAGTCAGTTAGCAGTCATTCGTTTTGCCTATATTACACGTAGCTGTGCGCCTGCTAGCGGGGCTTAAGAAAGAGAGTGCCCCAAAGCATAAGGGAAGAAGTGAGTTTCGTAATGTGATCGGTGCGCGCTCCTCTGTCATTTGTTAATATATCCGATTGCAACCGACAGGACGACGAGCCCGTGACAGTGGTTAGTGCGCTGGACTTCTAACCAACAGGCTGCGAGTTCAAGCCTCGGGGATTGCAGGTCTCGAGGCTGGACATGTCAGGCTGATGACGACTGACCAGCCAGAAATGCCCATTCCAGTCTCCCTTGTCTTTATCAGTAATGCTAATCAAGCCACTACTTTTAGCGCGTCACGATGGTTTTATTGTGAGTTTTAACAGTCTACAACGGTGAAACTTTGCGCCTCCATCAGAGTTGGAACGACCTCACATGCCATTGTGCCTATATTATGCGTAACTGTGCGCCTGCTAGCGAGGCTTAAGAAAGAGAGAGCCCCAAAGCACAATGGAAAGAGTGAGTTCCGTAACGTGATCGGTGCGCGCCCCTCTGTCATTGTTAATATATCTGATCTCAAGCCATAGGACAGCGAGCCCGTGGCTCATTGGTTAGAGTCGTTGGACTTCTAACCAGCAGGTTGTGAACCCGGGCTTCGGCGATTGCAGGCCTCGAGGTTGGACATGTCATGCTGATGACGGCTGACCAGCCAGAAATGGCCATTCCAGTCACCCTTGTCTTTATTGGTAATGCTAATCAAGCCACTGCTTTTAGTGCTTCATGATAATTTTATTGCGAGTTTTAATAGTCTACCTCGGTGAAGCCTAGCGCCGCCTACTGAGTTGGAACGACCTCACATGCCAGCGACAAATCCAAGTCAACCGATTGGAGAAGGGATTAGGCGCCTTAACTTGTGTTGCACTAGTCTCCGCCTAATGCATGAAACAAACAGGTACAACAACGATGAAGAACTCACCTGAACCTGGTGCGGCTCAAGTAACATATGCCATGAGCCGGTGTGGCCCTGTTGTAAAAGCACTTCCGACTTCCTTCCTAGCGGTCTGTCAGTCATGGGACCTCAGCGTGGCGAGTCCATCAGACGCAGTGCTACAAATCAAAAGCAGACACCCTGATACAGTTGGTAAGACAAGACATGCAGGCACCACCTGCTGACAAATAGCCACGTGTGTGATAGAGTGGTGCCCCCTCGATCAGGTTACGGGGCATGCTCGTACCGTTATGCCTTGGGGCTAATAAGTTATAGTTCAGCGAATATTCCCATGTTACAATTGAAAAGTCAAATTGGCGAACACGTGTTTTCAGTAACTCTTCATCAGGCCAAAACGGTTACAATGACGTTTAAGTTATGCGAATTACATGACTTATAAATGATTCGGGGACAATTAACATTGATCGTTCGGTCCGAGGCGCGCTATGGCGTGGTCGGCGTGTCGTGGTCAGTTGGTTCAGGGGGCGAGGAAAAGAGGGGGCATAGGCTGTGAGTACGTCGGGTACCTTGTGCACACACCCTGGCATCAGGAGGTTGGGGCGACGTTGGGGTCGGCGTCGGCCACGGAAGACAGAGCGTCTGTGTCAGAGTCTTCTGACAGCATAGCACTGGCTTGGCTAGCCGTATAGCCACTGCCTCAGCTGTAGCTAGCACCCGTTGGCGTAGGCCTTTGGAGAAACCTGATGGTGTCCGGTAGACAATCTGAAAGGCTTCTTTGGCATCGACTCGGTGTTTCGTATCGACGAGATGTGCGAGAATAGAACTCGAGATCGATTTCTTCTCACCTTTGCCTAGCCAGGCCGGTATGTGTTCACGTACTCTCTTTTCCAAGCGCCTCGTTGTACGGCCAATGTATCCCGCTCCACAGGAGCAAGTGAATGAATAAATATACATCGATGTGGCCTGCAACGGGAGTCGGTCTTTACCTCCCAAGCGTAGGAGAGGAGAGTTGGCGAAACACACACGTAAGTTCGCCGCGGGGAAAGCGCTAGTGATCGCTGTCTTCAGACGTCTTTTTACTAGTTCACTTGCTGCGTCCCCTTGAAAAGGCAATCTTATAAATAAGTCCTTCTTTTCTGCAGTTGCCATGGTAGGCTTTGCAGTGCGCTCCCCTATATTTCGAAGGATAAATCTTTCTGGGTATCCGTTTTCGTGGAGTGTATCCCGCAGCTGCTGCAGTTCTGCCTCCACAGTCTCAGGAGAGCAGATACGTCGCACTCTAGCTGCCAATCCTTGGACCAAGTTGCGTTTAATATTAAGGGGAACAAAACTGTGAAAGTTAATGTATTGTCCCGTCCAGGTTTTCTTTCGGAATACTCTACGTTGGATAGACCTATCCTCTTGTCTGTGCAGAAGAACGTCGAGGAACGCGATTTCATTGTTTGCCTCAAACTCTGCAGAGAACGTTAGCGAGGGGTGTGAATTGTTGAATTTTTGAATCAGGACGTCTGTGTCGGCGGTAACATCCGTCAGGGAGAAAGTATCGTCCACGTACCGACCGTAGAAGCTGAGGTAATTAATGGTGTCTTGTAAACTTGTCATCTCGACTTTGCCCATGAAGACATTTGCGAGGAATGAGCCGAGCGGTGAGCCCATCGCTACGCCGTCTATTTGCCTGTACAATTGGCCATTGCAGAGAAACTGGACGTTTTGCGTGCACCGTGTCAGTAGCTCTTTTAGCGTCTCCAACGGCATGCCTAACGGGTAGTTCGTGTCGCGGATAACGTCACAAAGGTAGTTTATTGTTTCGGCTATGGGTACTTTGGTAAACAATGATGCTACGTCTAAAGATAGCGTCCTCCGTCCGTCAACGTTAATATGACTTTGCAGCGGTTTAAGCTTTTCGACTAGCCACTTTGCTATGGTGTGATAGGGCGAATTCCTCATATCCAAGATCGGACGTAGGGGTAGTCCGTGTTTGTGAATTTTTGGAAGGCCGTACATTCTGGGTATGGCCGTGCCCACTGGTCTTAGTCGCTCATATTCTTTGTCAGATAAATGACCTTCTTTGTGGAGAACTTTGAGGACCGCCGTCAGTTGACCTTCAACGGCCTCGGTGCGGTCCCTGTCTTTCTCGGATTTCGAGAATTTGGTACGATCCGACAAGATTGCTTCTAGTTTTTCTTCGTACTCTTTTCTATCCATCAGTACAACTCCTGAACCCTTATCCGGCCTGGTTAGCACAATGTTTTCGTTTTTACGAAGTTCGCTGAGGCTATCGAGATGGGCCCTTGTTAATGGACCTTTGTTTTTTGGAGCCTTTCTTAAGTACTGTTGACAGCAATTAACCATAGTCGACTTCAGATAGTCTACTTCTCTAGGCCCGCTAGGTTTTAGATCGGCAGTCTGACTGAAGACTTTCAAATTAGACTTCTAACTCTAGCTGCTTCGGCATACGCCGTGCATTGCAAAACCTAGGACCAAGAGATAGTACCTCTATGAGAGTTTTGTCAAGCTGTACTGAAGAATAGTTATAAACGTGCCGTTCCGGATTATTCGGAAGGGCCGTCTGAGCCTTCACTGGTTGGACACTTCGAAGGAGCTTAGTCGACCTCGCCTCGATTCTTTTACTTCTGACAGTTTGCACGGTACGTTCATAACTATTCCTCAGTACAGCTTGAAAAAACTCTCATAGAGGTACTATCTCTCGGTCCTAGGTTTTGCAATGCACGGCGTATGCCGAAGCAGCTAGAGTTAGAAGTCTAATTCGAAAGTCTTCAGTCAGACTGCCGATCTAAAACCTAGCGGGCCTAGAGAAGTAGACTATCTGAAGTCGACTATGGTTAATTGCTGTCAACAGTACTTAAGAAAGGCTCCAAAAAACAAAGGTCCCTTAACAAGGGCCCATCTCGATAGCCTCATGCGAGTGGCGTGGGAACGATCGATGTTAATTGTCCCCGAATCATTTATAAGTCATGTAATTCGCATAACTTAAACGTCATTGTAACCGTTTTGGCCTGATGAAGAGTTGCTGAAAACACGTGTTCGACAATTTGACTTTTTAATAAGTTATAAATGGCTATCTCGGTCTCCCTTATCTTTATCGGTACCCCGTTATCATTATAAGCCTCATGTGTGTCCAAACGCCCAGACGACTGGCAGTGAAATGTGACCTCTAACCTAGCGTGCTGGCACGGGCCCCGTTATGGATTAACAGAGGGCGCCCTTTGGAGGAGATCTTGCACAACGTCAAGCTAACGCACAAAATTGATAACGGGCAATAACAAAGACGATCAACTTTTTGACGCATTTCCTTCACCTGCCCGTTACAGGTACGCACTCTGCGTGAAAGGTATCACAGTCTGAACATTGAAGTCGACGGCGGCGTCGGACCGAAAACAATTCGCGAATGCCTCAAGGTGAGTTATGTTCGTGCATTGTTTTCTTCGTCTGTGGGGCTCTGGTGGTCGCTCTAAGCATAACGTCTGTGTAACGGTCTGCGATGCAGAATGAACTGAAGTTGGGTGACCTCCTCCATGAGAGCTGACAATGCCTTCAGTTGACATCACTCATCACTCCTCATTGACCGATTTTGGCATACTTCTAGACTAAAATGACCCTAAATTTAAACGCAGCCTGGACGATTCGCAAGAAAGTAAAGCCCGAAGGTCTAACACATACCTGGATTGATAGCTCACATGAAAAGAATACTTCCCCCGCTTGGTGGTGAGCAAGTAGTTGTTGGATAGGCTACTAAAAAACATCATAGGACTTGCAAAGTTTGATTTCTTCCTATAGCCCTCCTAGAAGTGCGCAATATGGAAAGCCTCACGTTAATAAATAATTTGGAGCCAAATGATCAACCCTCTTTCACGCAATTGATCACCTTGCTGCGTCCGATGTCCTGCGACTTTGCCGCACAAACCGCCTTGCCTGGTCCGTGGCTGTGACCGCCAGCCCCTTGCTGTTCCATTTGGTGTCAGTCTCGGTAATTTACTTGCGATACGGATCCCTTTCAATATGGCTTCGACAGTTAGTTTTCACTCCAGATCGTTTCGTGGTTCGCGCCTAGTCGCCATCCTCGTTTTGAGACATAATCTTGCTTCCGGCGGCCACAGACACTCGTACTTTCAGTGAAACCGCTCGCCAAAATGACCTTTCAGATGGGGACGGGGTGGTGGCAGTGATGCTTTAGGCATCGGCGTGATGAACACCACGACTTCCGCTGACACGGGGGGTGGGTGCCAGACAGACGCTGTATGCCGTTCACTGGGCTCCTTCGGCTGGGGCCTGTGTGATAGCTGCGAACGTACTTACCGTTGACAACCGTTCTCGCACTAGACTGCACAACCACCGATATTTCAAGACTGCACTCTGTCGTTCGTTTTATCAGCAGGTCAGATTGCACCGAAGCACGGACATATTCATTTATCGTCAACGTAAACAACCCCATGCCCGCCTTGTTTGATCTTGAAAAAAACCTTCGTAGATGTTTAGTCGAATGTGAGGGTTTTCCCTCCAGTTTCTTTTATCTGAATGTCATCCCAGCAAATTATCTGTTTCAAGGCCTTATTCTGCCGCGCCGACGGTCATACCCAACAGCAGGTTTTGGAACCCCTGAGGGTAATATATCGGAAATGGCTACTCCAGTCTCACTTTGTCAGTAATGATACGCTGCTTATAATATTAGCTACTGAGTGGCTGCTGGTGGGGCTCGACCTTGAACCCTCAGGCACAACAAGATACGTGTGTCCCCTAACATGATCGGTGTGCGCCTCTCTACCAGCACAGTTTACTTTCCTTTTTAACCTGGGATCATTTATCACAACTTTCCATGTACAGTAGCTGGCCTATCTCACCAAGTGTTAACCGAGACTCCGGAATATGTTTTCGACCAGGAATTGTTACTTAGGTGGGGTTGTAATAATAATTGTCGTATAGCGTAATCCTTAGATGTTTCAGCCACACCAGGATGCTTGCTTTTGAATGAGTTTCTTTCCCACCGCCTGCAAAACCACTTTCAGTACAAAATAACTACTTAGGCAGTAAGACTTTCCCATTTCTTTTTGATGCCCCTTTGAAGTCAAATATATTTCATAGGAAACATTCACAAAACGACTATTTCTTATACTCGGTTGGTAGCAGATTGCTTGTTCTTAAAATGGTACACTTGAATAAGCGTAACTTTCGCTTTTAAAACTTTTCATTCTTGACCAATTCTGAACCGTACCTGGGTTTGCACTCACGCTTAGAGTTCCCAAAATGCAAACTGCATACTTTCCACGTTGGGACAGTCCTACATCCTTCTATGTTGTTAAGAAGATACGGTATAGGACTCATAGTTTTCTTCAATAGATATGGACTATGTTCTATACTTCATAAGGAACACTGATAAACAGACAGATACGATGCTCTGTAAATGGACATTACGCGGTCCTAAAATTCCCATAGTTTGAAGCTTTTTTAAAACCTAGGTATGCCATTTCGTCAGATGCAAAGTCTGAAGAGGACGCAGTTTGCTACCAAATGAGTACAGGAAAGAACATCGTGGGCATGTTTGCTATAAAATATATTTGAATTGGCGAGGGTATTGAAAATCAGCGAGGAAGATTCATCCTACCTAAGTAGCCGTAGAATTCCTTGCTAGACGAGTAACACGTATAAGCCTAAACAGATTTCGGTGTATAAGCGATACTATTGATAGAGTAAGGTAATAATAAAAAACGTACAAACCTCAACAATGGATACCCTAGACAAAGAATCCTGCTGTTACTGTTCGAGCAAATTGAATTCCCAGCTCAAGGTTAGAATACAAAAACTAGCTAATTAAAAGAACGCCGATCACGCTCAGAAGCGGGTTACAAAAAGGGGAAAAGGGAATACCAACATAGGGCAAAAGTGGAAGCACTTGCGAAGAGGGCGCGGAGAATTTGAAACGTTGACCAACTGGATACAACAGTAACCACTTTTTATCGAGTGTAGATTTTGCAGCCGGCCAGAAGGAAGGCCATTCAAAAACCAGCATCCTGCCGTGACCGAAACATCTTGGGACAATGCTACACGATAATCGATATTAAACTCCGCCTAAATAATCTCTTCCAATCAAAAACGAATTTCAGAACTCCACTTGATACTTTATGTGATAGACCAGCTGCTGTGTGTCACAGAACGTTTTAGTAGTTATTCATGATTCCTTAAAGGTGCGTCGTCTGTTAGGGCTTTTCTCAAAGATTGAAGTGAAATTGTGTGAAATACCCCAATACTCTGTTTATGTCTTTGGAGAGTTTGACATCGACACACACCAGCTGTTTAAGAGCAGTGCTTTTCGTTGAAAAAAACACAGATGCTTGATAGAAAAATCGACATGCATTCATAGAATTTAGTGTACACATTATCACACATACATCACAGAAGGTTATTCAGTATAACCGCCTGCAGCCTCGGGGGCCTTCGCTATTGACACCAAATAGTTCTTACAGTCTTCTATAGCCGACTTTGCCATCAGTTTTCGAAGTTGACAAAAGCAGTCGTCGCTGCCGGACCTATCTGAAGGTGCCTGGGTGCAGAGTTCCTGGGCTGATGTGGTCATTACAGCACTCGGGCTGCAGCCCGAGACCGAATTCCTTCGCTCAGATCTGTGTACGTTTACGAGATCGATGCGCCTAGCGATTGGCACTTTGGGCGCAGATGAAAGGGAGAGCTTCCGACCTGTACTGGCAAGGGCGTATTCTGACGCGTAAGCGTTTCCGGTACAACGCACCGACTTACAGTGCGTGACCTATCTCATGAAATGTTGGCTGAAATTCTGAAATGCATTTTCGATTAGGAAGGATTACTTGGTCGCGGTTGTGATACTGATTATCCTAAGGCATACTCTTATAACATTTCGGACTCGGCAGGGTGTCGGCTTTTAAATGAACTTCTTTTCAATTTCCTGTAGAAAGCGCGCTCAGTAAAAAACGACTACTTAAGTAGCATGTATTTTTCCCATTGATTTTCGATGGTCTTGTAAATTCAAATATATTTTATAGAAACCACAAACAAAAATATGCTTTCTTTTAGTTAATCAATAGAGAATCACGTCTTCTTTATATTTTATACTTAAGAAAGGAGTATAATTAGGTTTTAAAATTTTTCTAATTGCCAAAAAATTTGGTGTCTGATCATCCGTTGCATTAGCGCCTAGTGATTACACTCTACAAGGTGCATGCGTTCCGCGTAAAGAAAATCCCATATTTTTCTATGTCATTAAAGAGATATCATACAGGGTCCATAAAATTTTGCAATGGATGCGGACCATTTTGTACATTTAATGAGGAGCAGTGGCAAACGGCCAGGTACGATGCTATGTGAATGGGCATATCGCGGTCTTAAAAAGTCTCATAATTAGAAACTTTTTTAAAACCTAATTATACTCCTTCCTTAAGTATAAAATATAAATAAGACGTGATTCTCTATTGATTGACCAAAAGAAAGCATATGTGTGTTTGTGGTTTCTATAAAATATATTTGAATTTACAAGACCATCGAAAATCAATGGGAAAAATGCATGTTACTTAAGTAGTCGTTTTTTACTGAGCGCGCTTTCTACAGGAAATTGAAAAGAAGTTCATTTAAAAGCCGACACCCTGCCGAGTCCGAAATGTTATAAGAGTATGCCTTAGGATAATCAGTATCACAACGGCGACCAAGTAATCCTTCCCAATCGAAAACGCATTTCAGAATTTCGGCTATCATTTCATGAGATAGGTCACGCACTGTACTATCGTGTGTCCAGGTATGGACTGACCAACTTGATTGGTCGCATGATCAGGTCAACAAATGTTCGTGGAGATGCTGGAGAGGTATTCATAGGTGACAAGCCACCGATACTGCTGGACGAGGCTCAGCAGACTTCCACCATTGTGTCAGAGAGAACCAAGCCCAGAGCGGCAAATGGGACGAGTGTTTGAAAAATCGGCTGGTTCTGTCCGGCCGTTCCAGATCCCACCAACAATTAGTATATCGCGGTGACGAAGTCTTTCAAGTAGTTGTTGCAGCTGTGCGTGGACAACATTCAATCTGACACAACAATAGCCCATTAAGCTGTGCCCATCCGAACAGTGGTTTATTCGCCTGTTTCATGAGAATGACTGCCACATCGAGGAATCGCAAATACTGTCTTCATAGGGTGATGAAGGTTAAAGTGGAGATTTTGAATGTTCGGCATCCCAGTTTGTCAGATACGGATTTTACTAAGATAGAAGATGTTCACAATGTGCTAGCCTGTCAGGCTTTGGATATCAGGGTCGGAGAACCTTCGCACAGTTATTGTGTCTGACTGTTCGGATTAGTTTATTTGTCCCGATTTCTCCACTGGTGATGCGACCCTGCCGTAGCCTGAACAACGCTTCTGCCGATATTGCAAAGCAGAGCTTTCTCAGACGAAAAGTGGTATTTAGGGAGTAAAATATTTCATAGAGCAAAATTTCGGAAATCCGGTCTTCCTGCGGTCGAAGGAAGCATACTCCGGGACCGGGTAGAATCACCAAGCCGCCCGCTGTTGAACAATTTATATTTGTCTGCGCGAGTTTACATCTGTGTTTCTTTTAGACCACAGTTTCTTAAACAACCAAGGCGTTCTCTTCATTCAAGACTAATCCTTTCCCTATTTTCCTGGTAGAGCGGAGCAAACATGATCGTTTCTGGAAGCGCCATTACAAATGCGGAGGACCCTTCTGCCGTTATTCGTGCGATGCGATCAACTGTGGTCGAGGCGGTTGTTTAGACTTCATCCCAAATTGAACTATCTTCATTATGGTCTTCGTTGCTTGATTTCGTGTCTATAGAAATAAACTATGTTTCAATGTGTGTTCTGCCTGCTATCCTTGTCGTCCTTGCCTGTTGTGAGGTACTTGGCCGGTAATTGGTCCACCAATGGAGCTTTTGCGTTTCAGTGAATTGATTTGTGCAAAAATGCACACGATGGACCTGCAGACATTGTGTGACTGGTTCTCCTACAGCCGCGACTACCCCACTGCCTGCCCTCATGCTAAACCGGTGGTCTAAGAACCAAATAGATCGAAGGCAAATGGGTGAGGTTTATCTGTCTACTAGGGAAATAAATATTTGCAGTTCACTGTTTGCCTGACTACTTATTTATTCTATTTAAAAACATGTTTCATTATACCATGAGCTGACGTCCAGAACCTTGCGTATGCAGCATCAGAACCCTCGATAGAGGACAACCAGTACCTATGTTGGCAGTAGGGTGAAGCTACCTTCCTGAGTATTTTTAGTCTTGCCTCTTATTAATTGCTGGCATAATATGGGTTACGCTGTTATTCCGGAGATTGCTATTGTCCATTTCCGGGATTTTCATAAGGATTTCGGGCTGACACTAAAATGTGTCGCGGCACATAGATGGAGGACCTTTCGTCCATCACTGCAAAGATGTTGGCTTAGCGTTCATATCTGTGGTTCATAAGGCGGAGTGCGTACAGAAAAGAGTTGGAGCTCACTCAACTGTCGAACCCCTAGTGGTAGAAACATCAGCAGCCAATCACGAATCTGGACTTTTAGCTAGCACCTATGACAGCTAGGCCGTCGTGCCCGACGACGTCCACCGTGTGTCCCACAGCAGGCTGAGAGCAGGCCCGGTAACTTGTGCGTTAACTAGTTTATAATGGTAGCAAACTTGCACATCATCTACCCCCCCCCATTCCTCATCCTCCTCCTGAATCCGGTGCCAAGACATAGTCAAAAAGATCGGAGGTGGGAGGGGGCGCAGGTGGCTGGCACGGCCAAACCCGCACCTTGGCCTACCATTACATCCCCGTCTCCACAACAAACACTTGAACGGGATTTCAACCAACGACAAAAACGGGTCAGAAATAGGCGGATGATACAAGTCACTGGGCAGCTGTGCACACGGCCTGTATGCCTAGCGCGAGCGCAAGCGCGGTAGAAAACCAGATTTCCACAGAACTGCCAGCGCCCCCCAGACTGCAAGGGCCACGGTCTGCTTAATCGTGGCATAGCATGCGCACACAATCCTTAAAAGTCCCGAAAGGAGTAGTGGCGAAACCACTGTCATGCAAATGTATGCTACTGATGGCAGAACTTTGTAGCATCTCCATTAAACAGTTAGCCCAAGAGATTGGACCCTCCTCGACCGACCTTGTTATGAGTTCTTGATTGATATTAAAGTATGTCACCGCATTGCCATGCAGTATATTAACTTCGTAAAACAGAGTCCGTTGCGAGAATCCCAAGGCCCACTGTGGGGCCGAACCCCTCGCATTTGCGCAATACAGCAGCAGATACATCGGCGATGAAACTGGCGTCTGGGCCTTCAGCTACTGCTGGGGGCTTATATTGGCGCCGCTCTCATGAACATGCATACTCCGACTTGTACAACTTGATTGTAAGACGTGGGCTGAGTGTTAGTTCTGCCGATGCTGGCCGCGTAATGCTCAATTTTCTATTGAGATTAAAATTGTGTATGTGGCACTCAAGTAGAAGTTCCCTAATTGTACACTTGCCAGAAATAGTGTCACAAAGTTTCACTGCAATTGTTTAACTTAATCGTTTGTGAATATGTTGGTTTATCGTCTTCATTTGAGAAGCATGAATAAAGTTTCACATTGCCAGTGTTCTGGACATAGTGACCAATTGAACTTGCAATTGCGTAATACATGAACCAGAACGTCGGGACGAATAGGATGAGGCCACAGTTGCTGAATTTTTAAAATCCCAGTTGTACTGCTTGACGTTAGCATAAACTGTAAGCATTGACCCCCCAGATGTTCATTGTGTGCGACTCAGTTTTTAATCAAGTTTTCGGGGCTGACGTTATAAGGTCTTGTCGCGAACTGAATTGTAGGTCATCCCAGTGTTCAGTTTCTCAAGACCATGTACCGACACTGAACTGCAAGTACTTGATTTGATCACTTGTGAACATATTGGCCTAGCAAAGGCATCAGTTTCGTTTTGCAGCAGCAGAAATCTCGACGTCTAGCCGCGTGTCTAGGTCTTCAACTGGTACCTATATTAGAGCTATTGTGAAACCAGTGTCATAAATCCATACCCCAATCTGTACCACTAGGTGAATGGATATTAAGTGGTACTTATGCAGACGCTGCCTGTGTGCTTATTAGCATAGGAAATTGCCTGAATAAAGGAGTGTTGGTGTTTTTCCAAGACTGTATATATTTCCGTTAAGATGACGTTGAAGTATATTCGAAATGAGAGAAATGTATCTAAATAACGCGCCGGACCGTCCGGATTTCCGTCCTCAGGCTCCTGGCAGAATAACATTACCTCCAAGGGACACGATGGGAATATCTAACTTATTAGCCGTCATCAGCCAGTCCCACCAAGTCGCTGACTTTGCAACTCCTGAGGCTTGATCCTGCGGCCTGTTGACTAGAGGTCCATCGCTCTAACCATAGAACCATGGGCTCGTCCTGTTGGTTGCGATCGGATATATTGACAATGATATAGGGGAGGTCACCAATCATGTTAGGCGACACACGTCCTGTTGTGCCTTGGTGCTCAATCCAGAGTGAGACCCGCAGCCAGCCGAATGATCGGCCGACTTTGGAGATCCGGTGGGCCACTTCGTCGCCGATGTTGATGGTGCGTTAGTGTGATACCTTAAAAGCGAATGAATCCACTGTTTTGAATTGGCTATCGTCGATCGTGATGGGGGGAGGTCATTTAAGTTAGTATTGGGCGACGACTGATGAACTACGAAAGCTCTGTCCGTGTTAACGGTCAGCTCGACGTCAGCGCATTCGGGGGTGAAAGTTTCTATGCTCCTTTGCATGGCGTCTTCCGTTGGGGCGTTGAGTGGATACCCGTTCGCGGATACGAGTGCATGGACATTGATGGTTGAAGTTCGGATGGACGCATGCATTCGTTGAGCGGATCGTCGGTCCTGTAAGCGATGGTGATCCCAAGGCGCTCGTCACGACAGGCGTCCAGCAATTCGGCGGAGGACATGAGGCTGAAAAGAGTGGGAGCGAGTACGCAGCCCTGCTTTACGCCATTGGTCACTGCTAATGCCTCTGTGACTGTCCTGTTTTCCTTGACACGCCCTACCATCCAGTCTTGGAGCTGACACATCAGGCGCATTAATTGTTCAGGACGACGAAATTTCTGGATGGTTTTCCATCACCATCAACCGTGTCGAAGGCCTTCACCAGCACCACGGAGAGAGTGTAGAGGTTGGCATGCACTTCCTTACACTTATCTTGCGGTTGCCGAACGCCAAAATCATCTCGGTGGTTTGGCGGTATCATTTAAAGCCATAGTGGTTTTTTGGGGAGTAGCCCGTAATCCAGATGGTCCTTGAGACGATTGAGAAGGATGCGGGCGAGCATTTTTCCGGCGATGTTGAGGAGCGAGATTCCACTGTGGTTATCCCAGGCAAGCCGGTTTCTTTTCCGCTTGTATGGATGGAAGATAGTCGCGTCCCTGAAATATTGTGCAACTAGTCCTTCGCGCCACATCTCTTGTAATATTTATTAAAGTTTGTTAATCAGTCAGGGGCCTCTGTGCTTGTAGACTTTGATCGGGATCGCGTTAGATCTCGGTGCCTTCCGACCGGAGATTTGTTGCACGGCTGTGATAGTTTCTGGAAGGGAGGGTAGGATGTCCAGATCGTTGTTCACTTCAACTTGAGGGCGCCGGCCGTTGGCGGCGCTAGAGGTCGTGGATGGGCGATTGAGGACGGTTTCGAGGAGCTCGGCCTACCGCTTCAGGAACTGCGACTTCGCCGTCAAGAAGGTTGCTCCGCCTGAGCTGAGAAGTGGCACGATCCCCTTAAATGTGTGGCCCTAGACCCTGATTGGTTGGAATACGTTTTTTGTTTCCTTGCTATCCGCTTACCCCTAGATCTCCTCGACCTTTTGATCCATCCAACCCCCTTGCATCTCCCACAGCCATTGCCGCACGAAGTAATGACTTCAGTAGAAGGCCGTTTTGTGTACGCCGGTGTGGTATTTAACTCAGGTCCTGATGATGGTGGCGAATTTGCCTCCCCGAAAAGGTAGGTGCAAGTCGGTAATAAGGCGGTCGGTTATGCCCTGCAACATACAGGGTAGTCATCCCACTATATCGTTTCGAATGGCAAAGACAGCATCAGGGACAAGACCTTTAAAAATGGAGAGGGCGGGCGGGAATGGGAGCTGAATTATCGGTTGTGGGAATAGTATGGAAAACCATTATCTGGGTTAGCCCGCCGGTCGAGGCGGTTACAGGGGAGTGGAGCCTTAGCAGATCCCAACTTCGGAGGACTACAGATGAGAGTCGAGCGCCAGTTAGCGACCGTGAGGAGCAGTCACCACTTGCATGGCTGTATCTTTAGTCGTTGCACCCAACTACAAAATTTCCGTTTGGCTATTCCACCAACTTCATCCACCTACAAAGTACCGTGAAACCTCCACTGAAAACTCTAAAGAGTTTCTCAAGAAATTAAGAAGCATTACAATTTACGCTGACGAAATAATGGTCTCCTTTGAGGTCGTTTCGTTGTTCGCATCCATTCCACTAAAAGTAGCAAGGGAATGCACAACCGAACTTCGCAGCCCTATAAAACGGATGTTCCCGCAACTGTATTACTTGAACTGTTATGCATTTGTTTACAAACCAATTTTTCGTTCGACCATCAATACTATCAACAGTTAAGGAGGGGCGGAATGGGGTCACTTATATCTGACTTTCTTCCAGAGGTGAAAATGCAGAAACTAGGGTGTACGGCTCTTCCACTCATTAATCCAAAATTTCGGCCAGGTTGTGCAGACGACACATTCGTTGTCAGTAAAAGCGATCAGCTAGAAACCCTCCACAACATCATCAATTTGGCAATTCCGGAAATTAAATTCACACGAGAAAAGGAACTCGGAAGTAAACTACCATTTTAGATGTTCTCATACAGCGAAAGACTGACGGAACATCACGCGTTGCTGTTTAACGCAAAGAAACTTATGCGGAAGTCGTTCTACAGCAGCCGAATCTCTCAAAGACGGTGCATCGTCAACAGCTTGCTTTACCTAGCAAAAACACTGTTCCAACGAAGAAGGCTGCAGAATAGAACTAAATTATCTGTTTGAATTATCTCACCGAGATGGTTGCCCTAGAGCTTTTGCATGTTGATGCAGGCGCCCAAGGCAAATACTTGGTGAACCCTCCCTTACATTAAAAATATGCCTGAACTCGTTAAAAGACATCTGAGAAAACAAATGCAAGTGGCGACTACGTTGCGCAGTCAGCATGCAAACCGCAAGGATAGGATTGGCTATCTGAATATGAAGGACGCCGTCTACAATATCCCATGAGAAGCATGCGATGCCGTATATTTATGGCTAAACTGGATATTCGGCCCCATATAGGCATTCATAAACACCAGCTAGCTGTTAAGAGGCGAGACCATCTATCTCAAATGGTCATGCATAATGGTAGAGAGGCACTCACCGATCGTTTTTACAGAAATAACTCGTCCCGCTGTGCCTTACGGGTTCTCTCACGAGCGCAACCAGCAGCTGCAACGCGGCGCATTGTACATTCCCGATCGCAACCGACAGGACAACAAGCCCGTGGCTTAGTGGTTAGAGACGTTGGACTTCTAACAGGCTGTAGGATCGAGCACCAGATGTTCCACACCTCAGGGTTGGGTACGGCTGGCTGACGACGGCTAGTAAGCCAGAAATGGCCATTCCAGTCTCCCTTGTCTTTGTCGGTAGTAACATTCTGTCTAGGTCATGCATACACTAGATACTGGGTACGCTTTTGCATGGGACAATACTCGCATCGGCGTCTGCCCTATCAAAAGAGCCAAAAATTTTTTGAACCCATGTACTCGGATGAGTCATATATCAGCCGGCATATTGAACTAGACGTTATGTACAAAAGTCTCAAGGATGAGTAGGAGAGACGGGAACTAACCGATGTACAATAGCTTATGCGTCGGACGCCTATTGGTAGAAACACCGGAAAAGTATTGACTTTTAAGCACGTCCGAAGTGTTGGCTGTATTATGTACACTTACTTAAATCTGACGACGACCCGAGGAATCGAAGTCGAAAATTTACCAACAAAGCTCTTACTTTTTCTAAAAAAACCTACTGCCTTTAAACCAAATATATATGTATATGGGATGAAACCGACAAAGACAAAGGTGACTGGGATGGCCCTTTCTGGCATATTAGCCGTCATCAACCAGTCGTACCCAACTCCAATTGTGGATCACTTGGGATTCGAACGCGGGATCTTTGGTCATGGGTTCTAATATGAGTCCCAAGGCACAACGGAACGAGCACGTTCCGTAACCTGATCGGTGAGCGGCTATCTGTTATAATATATGTGAATATATCAAATAGTTTCTTAATTTTAGGGGCTCAGCTGACACTTTGATTTCCTTGACTTTCCGAACTCTTAATTGATCTCTGAATCATCTATATCGGAACAGGGATTCCGTAATCTATTGCCATAAGGCGGGCTGCACTGAATCTGTGAGAACTTATAGGGCCCCGTCTCCTTTCGAAATGAACTACAGTAGGTGGGCTAACTCATGAAATGTCAACCGAAATTCCAAAATGCGTTTTCGTTTCGAGAAGATTAACTAAGTAGGGTTGTAAAACTAGTCAGCCTGCAACATAATTCTATAATATTTAAGTTACCTCAGGATACTGACTTTCGAAACATCTTCCTTCCGGCTGCATACAAAAACTATGCTCTGTAAAAATGCCCACTTAAGTGGCATTCATTTTTTCTCATTGATTTTCGATGCCCCTAAAAGTGCAATTATATTTCACAAAAAACATGCATAAAAATGTTTATTCTTTCACTCATTTCGTAGACAGCCAAGTCTTCTTCCAATCTTATACTCGAAGGAAGAACCTAATTCGGTTTTAAAAAAGGTTTCTAATTCCCGAATAATTTTGAACCCGCTCTACCGTTACACTTAGATTCAGGGTTTCCAAACTACAGGTCGTATATTCTCCGCGTACGGAAAAACCACACATTTCTCTACCGGAATAAAGGGGGACAATAGGGGGTTCATAAAATTTAGCAGTGGATTTGATCCATATTGTTAACTTTATAAGCCACATTAGTAGATGGAGAGACATGACGTTTTATGAACGGCCATTTCACGGTATTAAAATGTATCACAATTAGAAACTTTTTAAAACCGAATTATGTCCCAGGCGGACTAGTTTTACAACCCTACTTAATTAATCCTTTCGAAACGAAAATGCATTTCGGAATTTCGGTTGACATTTCATGAGTTAGTCCACCTATTGTATGTATAGTAAACTTAGATGGACTGCATGACACTGTCTGCCTTTGGGTCACATCCATCTTACCACTGAAACACCTAGTTTATACGAAGAGAGTGTGCGCTAAATGTTGTTCAAGTCTGCTCTACAGTAAACACATTCACAAGCAAGGGGCCATTGCAGTTACCTCGTTGGCATTTGCAAACCCCGTCAGCAGCAGCAGCAGCAGCAGTAGAATTATCATGCGGACGTGTTTCTCGCCAGTAGGATTTTTTCTTTTACTGAAAGATTTTTTACCAAGATTGTCCTCGTTAGGGTAAACGCCAGACACTATTTTTGTAGACCGAACTAGGCATACTTAAATTGAGGTAGTATCAAGCTGAATCTCTGGCAAGTCTACCTCTCCGGTGACGGTCGTTTTGGAAGTAGATGCCTGTCGAACTGGTAATTCGAAAATTTGGGTTTTTGCAATTTAAAACTACTCACCATTCACATCCGCTTCTTAATAGTCTGTTCTGTGTCATATACCTAAATGGCGTTTGACTGTGCGCGGAATGACAGACTTGAAAAAGGCAGTGGTGTAAGTTTTCCTACCTTTTGTTTCGCCAGCGCCAAACTTGTACTAAACTTATACTTAAAGGCTCTATGAGGTAATATTTTTATATTTGTGCTCACAGGGGGCTGTGACACATACAAACTGACTCCAAACCAGGTTTACATGCAAATAGCTTATGCAAGTGTTTGTTCCCGCGAAAGTGATTGCATTAATGCATAAGTTGCACGGGTACTAGTTAAAAGCCCATACACGCGTGTTTCGCTGACATTCTGACGCTACATGACATCTGCGAGAGGTTCGGCTCGTCAGTGGGTCCCCCAGCATTCCCCGTCTGTTTTCTGGCCGATATTCTAGTTTTTAAATTGCGAATCTGGTATATTGTACACTACTGGCTGCCTGTCGGCAATTTATGAATATTACGCGGTTATTCCACCGTGGCTGGCGGACTTCGGCCCAACTATTCATATAAATTTTCAGTCTGAGCCTATAAGCCTTAAATAGGCTGATGCACTCCATGCTAAAAATTAAATTCTGAGGAAATTGAAAACCTACAAATTTTAACGGGTCCGCAGCACGATCGCACGGAAATTTTCTACTTGTTTGTACCACGCCATCGTCAGTCGCTCTATTTAATAAAAATGAAGCCACGCCTGCCATATTTGGGGCTTTGTGAGTAAGCTTCGGGAAGTAAAGATAGTGCTGAAATATTGCTTAGCAAATTTCCAAATGCCGTGGCCCAGAGCTTCTGAACAACTTAGTGCATTCAGAATACCGGTATTTCGAAATTCAAGTTTCTTATCTGTTAGTTTTTAATGCATTTGATTGCAATAAATTCGCTCATGAATGGGAGACTCAAAAACATACTAATATTACGCTTGATTTGCGCCCATTGTAAGCCTCTAGCCCACTATTTTAGTGTGCGGCTATTCCGATACTTTGGGGTGAGAAAACGTAGGTGATTCACCAATCACGCCTTATCTGTGGCATTAATATTTTTCGAGGGTGATCCTCCAGAAGAGTTTTTGGAATTCCAGATTAAAAATTCTCTTGCTGTCCCATGCTTTATGAGTACACTTTTAATGTGCTCAAACTCACTGCTTCACTTTCTTTGTATAGCCGACGCCGAATCCTGTCTATATGATCAGCAGCATATCGACTCTCGTGACTTGGCTGAGTGGTGAGTTAATATAAACCTAAATAGTGCTAGAATGCTTTTTCACAACGGATTTATGTGGTTGTGATAGCATGGCCTATTTAAAACACGTTGGTTGAAGTTTTGCCCAAGGTTGGACATCGAAAAGAGGTTTTTTACGTTGTTAAAGACTCAAGGACCGACTTCTGGGCACCGCGAGGACCTACAGTCTGCGTCATTGACCATTCAGAACAGACCTACAACCATGAAGATCGCACATCGGCGTGCCAGGAATAGAGGGAATTATCGAAGCTGTGCACAGCATTCGTATTGAAAAAGCTCGCCAATGTACGTTAAATGGCATATCTCATGAAATGTTCGACGAAATCCTGGGATATTCGAAAATATGTTTCTAACAGAGACAAGGGAGACAGGAATGGCTCTTTCCAGTTTGTCAGCCGTCATCAGCCAGCCATACCCAACCCCGAAGTGTGCAACCTCTGAGGCTCTAACCCGCGTTCTGTTGGTTAGAACTCCGACGCCCTAACTACTGAGCCACGGGCTCGTTGCCTCGTCGATTTTGATCGGGAATATTACTATCGGTAGGTGGAGGCCCACCATTTGGTTACAAAACTCAGTCGCCCCATCGTATCTTTGGGGCTCGATCTAGAACCCCGCTGGTCGTTACATAGCGATTAGTATTATATTCAGAAATAGAATTCCAACAAAGACAAGGGAGACTGGAATGGCCATTTCAGGCTTATGAGCCATCGTCAATCCGCCACACCCAACCCGAGGCGTACAACCCCCTGAATCGCGAGGGCTTGATATGGCTGGCTGAAGATGACTAATAAGCCAGAAACGACCACTCCAGTCTCCATTTTCCTTGTTTTAAATCTGTTTCTAGATCAAGCCCTAAAAGCACAACGGGGCGAGTGAGTCCCGTAACCGATCGGTGAACGTCCGTCTACCAATAATCCGAAATCCTTTTTTGACTAAAAGGAACGCCTTGGGCGGATTGCAATATTAATTATCCTGCAGCACAATCCTAACGTATTTCACTTACCGCAGGATGTCGACTTTTAACTTCGCTTCCTCATGTCCGTCTACAGCCATCGCACTCGGTAAAATGTACTGCATAAGCGGTACGAACCGCTCCACTAATTTCCGCTGTTCTCATAAATTCAAATATGTTTTATAGAACACATGGGCGAAATGTTCTTTCTCGTACTTATTTGGCAGCAAATCACGTACTGTTCGCATTTTATATTCGAAAAAGATAGATTTTGGCGGAAAGGCTTATAAAAACGAGATCATTTGAGACCGCTAAATGTCCATTCAAATAGCATCGCATCTGTCCGTCCATGAATGTTCCGTATGAAGAATTCGGCACGGTTCATATCAGCCATATCTATAAGAGATGATATGCTGGAGTTAATAAAATATTTTGGGATTGTGCTGCGCGATAATCGGTATTAAAACTCCAGTTATGTTGTCCTTTCTAATTGAACACACATTTCAGAATTTCGCCTGACATTTCGTGAGATACGCCACCTACTGCATGTGTGCTATGAGTTGATTCATCTTTGATTTTCACATGGTGCTGAATTTCATCGCTAGAGATAAAAAAAAACAGGAACACAACATACGAAGCATACTGGCTATTTCAATCAAATGGCGGCCTACGTCTCATGTCCGAAGAAAACCGGCCAGGAACATCTACGCTGGCGGTTGTATCGGTATGCCGGTTAGTTTAGTTCTACTCAATTTACAAGCCTTCGTCATCATGACCCTAGGAAAGACTTTTGTCTTAGGTTCAAACATTTGCCAGTAATAACAGGCAAATTACAACTAATATGCAAGTTGCGCTTTTGAGAAGGTAAGCTTAGAGCTTTCCTTGAATACATTCGTCGTTCTGCCCTGCACTGCGTCTGCAGCCGACACATCTACCACCATGTTGCCAAGACAACATCCCGTCACAGTTGCTTGACATCAGACATCTTTCTTCATCCAGGTTTCCTTAACTTTCCGATTTCCCAAATGGGGCTTTTAATTTTGGAGTCCTATAGTATAGACACACCCCTGGTGTATCCAGAGTTGTTCATTTTATGACTTCCTCTTTTAGCCATAAGCGCATTCCACGTTCACGCCTGTCCCCACCCTACAAGTTCTGGCTGACGTTGAACGCCCTCTTCAACGCCTTTATCTACGATGCATCCACGTTGCCCACCCTCAGACCGGCCTCCTGGCGCAACCTCTTCTCCAACATCTTCCTCCTCTGCCAGGCTGTACTGCACTTGGCCTATACACGCCTTTTTTTCCAACTATTTGTTCTGCGCTGTGCCAAGCGACGTTGGTTTGGCCGCGGTCTGGTCACATTTGCCGGCGTCAGCATCGCCGCCGTCGTGGCAAGTGTTTATGTCTGCCTACTGCCGCTGCGTGTGGCGCGTTGGCGCACCTCCGGTCGGACCAGCGAGTTGGGCTGGATTCTTCTACACGGCCTGCTTGGTCACTGGTTGCTGGCTCAAATAGTTGTCCACTTTGTGGCCGGAGTGTGTCGTGAGGCGGGTCGGGTTCCCCAACCGCTGGTGCCACAGGCGGCGCCGGGTTGGAGTATGTGCAGCCGCTGCCAGTTGCCGCGGCCACCACGGGCACATCACTGCAGTGTCTGTGGCCACTGTGTCCTCATGATGGATCACCACTGCCCCTGGTTGAGCAACTGCGTTGGTCTCCGCACACGCCGACACTTTTACTTCTTCCTGCTCTATCTGTCAGTGGGCATTGTCTACCTGGGGTTGGCCGGCTGGAGTGACTTTATGATGCACTCTCAGGCGGTATGCGCGGCCTACGAGAAAGCCAACTGTTCCAGCTCTTCGCAGGATTGCGTGAGTTCTGAAGACCTGACTTGTTTTTATCTCTAACTTTTGTACAGCTTACATTTTGACAATGCGTCGACCGGTCAAGTTCAATACTCACTCCCTTTGATGATAATATACCGAAATTCGGGTGGCGTGATGGGCCGACCGGGGACTAGAATCGCCCTTCCGGTTAAAAGTAAGATATCTAGAGAACAACTTGATTGCTTATCTACTGTTCTGAACCTTATAAAAGAGATTTGAAGGCAGAACAAGCAGATTTGAATGGCACTTTTAATTAACATGCCCGATTCCTTGGACATCCCCATTATTGTCTGCTCCTCGGTGTAATTGATCCAGTTGCGTAAACAATGCGGGCACTTTATGGCTTCAGAACGAACCCTTGGCGTCGCTACTTCTGTTAAAAATTTGCCAGCCCCTATTTGGCGAAATAATTATCAAACCTCTGTCGGAAGGATGCTCCCCAATCGGATTACGGAACGTGATCGTCCCGTTGGGACTTGCGACCCAAACTAGAACCCATGCTGGCAGTCGCATAGGGACGAGTAGTATGACTAGAGAAGGTGCTACCGGGAAATATAAGGTAGACCTTTGTCGGTACCACCTAAACTACCCATACTTCTAGTCGCTATGCGGCTGCCAGTTTGGGTTGTAGTTTGAGCCCTAACGCACAACGCAACGAGTACGTTTCGTGATCTGGCCGATGAGCGCTTGTCTACCATAATTGATATTCCAGATCAGAACCCACAGGACAACGGACCCGCAGCTCAATAGTAGGACGTTAGACTCGACGACCAAATATCTTGCGTTCGAGTCTCACGTGACTTACATCTGAGCTTGGATCTGACCACTGTTGATGGCTAACAAGCCAAAAATTGCCGTTTCAGTCTCCCTCGTATTTGACAGTCATCGGCCACTGTAGTGATCCAATCGTCAATTGGTGACCTTGCTGCTCAGGGATCTCCTAAGCGACCTTGCCACACCCCTCCTACTCTGAATTCAGGGCCAGTGTCCCTTTGGGCTGGGTGGGCACTAGAGCACCGTGCTCAAAGTGTGCATCCTTAGGTCGCGCGGACTGACGCAGCCCAGAATAAGTGCACCTCCAGAGTCTGATCTATGGCCAGTCTCTACTATTCGGAAATCAGAGCCCAGCTATGATGCCACTATCCAGTTTTCATGCATGTAGCTGTGCATTTTTCGTATCGTTTCTCAACTTGTCTGTGTTATCGCTGCAATCGTTTCAGTGGACGACTTAGGTGTTCCCATGAAGTGATCACAGGTTTCTGTGTTGCGTCAAGTTAAAGCCAGAAAGCCGCTCTGTAGACCTCTTGATGCCGCACTTCGCCCCTCGGACTTTGATCTCCTATTCTTTGTGGCCGTTGTGTGTCCCCTTCATTGAGATTTTGTTTTGAAGAAATTAAAAACTTCTTCATACCTTGTTTAGGGTGGCGATATTAACTTTACCGAAACGTGCTCACTCCATCCTCGCAGTTATGGAGCCGAAATGTTCTTCGATAACCATTGGACTTGACTGTAAGTCACTGGACTCCATACCGGATCAGTGGCCACGACGCAGAAGGCCGTGGCCAATGCCTTCAAAAAAGAGAGAACTTATGGGCTATGTTTCCCCCGCATCTATTCAAGTGAACGACGCTCTTGGGACTGTACGTCAGGCCCGACCGCGATAGCGCTGGTGCGAATTTGCAGGCGCCTCCCGAACGACCCGGCCTGTGATTGCAATTGGCCAAAGCGTGGGCCATATAAGCTCATGGCATAGGCCTAACGGGCCGCGCAGTCTCTCCCTTAGTGTGTGTTTCTGACCATTACCGCTCACACATACATATGGCTGTCACACCACACCAGGCATTGTGCCCAAGCAGTCGATCGACAGCCTCGCACAGTATGAGAGTGGCAGATCAGAGCACATCGCAAAGTTCCTCAATAGAAATCTGGACACGCTAACAGCCGTGGTTTTGAAGTTTGCCGACTGACGGAATGACTCAGACCCGCCCAGAACAGAGGGTCGAGATGCAGTGGTTTACTTATATGACCTTTACGCCGCGCATTTACATGGGATCCGAAGAAAGCCCCTAAAGGAAGTTGAGTGGGTATGGAGTTAAGACTAGGTCGGCGTGACAGGCAGTTTAACTTTGCCAGTCACTGCGGCCAACTGGAGAAGTTGGTAAACCACATTTGGCCATCTAGACTTTGTCTTGCCGCTGGGACGCTGAGCGTGGGGCGAGGATTGACCAGATACCCGGCTCACTATAGGCAAACTTGCGTAGGCTACAACCGAGCTCATCCCTTTGGGCAGTGCCGAACCTCAGCGCTCGCGGCGTCCGAAATGTCGTCGATTCACAGGCCGAGTAAATAGTGCGGAAAATTACAATGCATTATTTTGGTCAAGCTGGTATCCAAGACACCTAGGAAACAAGTGTTTCTAAAACAGAATCCAGCCTCAGATCGTGTGGCGGACGCTAAGTCACGACAATGCAGTCTGATGTTTACGAACCCTCTGGCGTAGAACTACTCAGGCAGAACAAGGCCTCACATGACAGCCGTCGTTTCTTACAAGATGACGCATCGGCTTCGCAGGGGCTTTCCACCTGAAAAATGCTTGAACACTCGGCCTCCTCGGGCGGTCTTCGAAGGGTAGATAGGCAGTGTAATCTATCGGCCGGAATTTCAACTACTGCGTGACTAATAGAATTCTTGGTTACATAACTGACTCTTGCTGTACTCTAAGTACCGGAGCTTAGCTAGATTTTAATTTTTTATGACGGAGCAAAAGAAGTTGCTCTCTAGACGTCTCAGATTGTCCTGTCTTCTTTTCCTCAGGCCAACCTGTGGATACTGGGCCTTCAAGCCTATGCGCACCGTCTGCTGGTCGCACTCTATCGTGCCTCCTTGCTGCTGCTCTGCTTCACCGTCGGTCTCCTCGTCTGGCATGGTCGTCTAATCGGTCGCGGAGAGACCAGCGTGGAGTACTGCCAGAATCGCCGACTGGCCCAGCGCATGCGCAAACGACACCTAGTGTTCCGCAACTACTACGACTTTGGCTGGCAACGCAATTGGATGCGCTTCCTGGGCCTCGAGGCACCGGCGGATGCCAGGGTCTGGGCGGCAGGGAAGAAGGTCGCCCTGCTGACCTACGCCTACCGTGCGTTGATCAACCTCCTGCTGCCCTCGTGTCGTGGCGCTCCCTGTGACAGCATTGACGGTCTGGACTACGAATTGGCTACAGTCAGCTTGGAAAACATTCTTGCCGACCTGGCCGATCTGGACGATGATGAGCAGTCGCCGCAACCGAATAACCAGCTCGTTCAGAGAGCAACAAAAGGATAAACGCCCCAGGGCTTTAATGAGCCCCCATCTGTCAGAATTTTAGCTAAGAACAGAATTGTCGGCTACGCGGACACGATTCCTCCGCAGCACTTACAAATAGGCAATAATAAGTACTTCCCGGCCGACCCAGTTTTTTAAAGTTTGTGAAAGAAGGGCATGACTTCCTGTGCACCACAAGAACTCGCCCGTTTGCAGCATTCCCCCGACACTTTACGCTTATGTTTCTGCCTGATTATGCAATGAAATGAGTACCGTGGTCCAGTTGCGGTCTCCGTGTCAGCATATTATGACCAAGTGACGCATAATCCGATTGTGGAAGCAAGCTCCTTGCGATTGAGGCAAATATGCTGATAGATGTGTTAGGCTGGACTATGCGCATCCCACTGGGAGAAGAAAGAGTACATGTCCCTCCCTCCCTCCCAACGGCCGATCCTAAGCAAGTTCAAATCGAACCTCGAAAGTTGCACATGGCGGTGCGCGAAAACCACCAACGGTGGACGCTCAGCTATGTGGTGAGTGGGGTATCTGAAGGTAGTGTGGCTGCCACTTGGGCTGATTGAAAGTCACGCCAAATGCCCAACTACACGAGGTGACAATTCCGATCTAACCACACATTGCAGCCGCGACAAGACGCCGTACCCGGCGCGGTGGTAGCAACAATAGACTGGGGTGGCCGGTATCACACCTGTCCAACGCCAATGAACTGGCGTGATGTGTTGTCCGGTTCTGGGGGGACCGGCCGTGTTGCGGTACTCCAAGCAGTTCTTAGTGCCAGGCCAGGTATTGCATCTAAGCCCAAATTAAGTCTGGTTACTGACTTAGCCCCTCTGAGGGAGTGGAGGCTTGAATCGGTGCTGTGCAAGTCTCGCTTGCTATAATCCACTTCAGCGCTGTTTCCAGAGCTTCCAGCAGTGGTTCTCGTCGAGTTTGACAAACTGTCGACGAGGGCACAAAAAAGGGCTGCTCAGCGAATCGGGCACGCCAGTTTGTTCATGCGGTGCCGAGGCCTGTGTTAATGAAAGTCAAACAGAAGGGAGTGTTATACGGTGATGACTCCAGCAATGCGTTCGTGCAGAGAGTAAATAAGGGAAAAGCAAATGCACTGTTGGAGCTGTGGAGCAGAGAATGAAGATCAGAAGAACTCGAGGATAAATCAAAAAATTCACGTGATTAGAAATCAGACTCGGGGAGGAACAGTTCAAAGACAGGCGTCGACGGCGATAACAAGAAGCAGAAGCAAAGGAGAGAAAAAAGGCGGTGCGGTTGGGCAACAACATTGTCATTTCTGTGCAATACGACTCGAAGAGGCAGCAACAACCCACAAATCACTGAAAATGTCATGAAAATGCACTTGTATTGTTTGAAATTGGGCGGCAGACTAATTTTAGGAAGGAACAAAAAGGGAAATAGAACAAATAAAAAGCACGTGATCTATACATGACGGATTAAAAGGAGTGGCAAAACGAGAGGATGTGATGGAGGTCACGTCATTTGAAACTACTGAACTCAAGTTTTAGCTTGATTCTCGGTTGTTGACGAGAAGAGGCAGTGGATCTGACAGTTGCGGCGCAGTTACCGCTACCAACACCAGCGGCAGTGGTAGTTGAGGCTGGCGACGACACGGCAGCCTTTTCCGAAGACTGCGACTTGATGGCGGACTCCAGACGAGATTTCAGGTCAGCGACCTTGCACACATGGCGGAACTCTGTGGGATAGCGGGAACCAAGGGCAAGGAGACTGCGAAACGCAAGGCCATGTATCAGACCGCGGATGGCCCTGCCCGTCATCGACGATGACTTACCAGCGGCGGCGGCGGCAGAGGTTACCACCGGATCGCCGCCACCGCTGCCATCGGGATTGGACGTGCTGTCCAGCAGGAGATCGCAAAAGAGGGGCAGCAGAATAACTAGGAGATTTTTGCGGCCTGTCGCCTCGGCAATGTCCACGATGTTGACGCAGAGCGCAATGGCGGCGTCTACAGTCTCCTCGAGTTGCTTGAGTGAGAAGCCAATCGGTTTGAAGTCGCCCACAGACAGGGTTTCAAGAGGTCCTTCGGGCAGAGTTGTCAAGCACACAGAGAGCTCATACAACCAGTGAATGACCTGCGAGAAGTGGATAAAACACGGTTCTGTGAGGGTAAAATAAATATCTAAAAAGCCATGGACAAGTGACAATGGCTGCATCATACGCCGAACAGTAGTACTGAAAGTACAAGCGACCCGCTGTCATATGAGATGAAATTACTAGCAGTACTCGTCTGCATAACGGTCATAATGTAGATAATTCTCAGATCTACCCGGCCTTACCGTACTGACATGGTCAGTTTCGAGACCTAGCTTTTTTTGTCCAAACAGCTCGACCTAGGCGCCGTAGCAATGATTTCTTCCGCCAACTACGGGAAATGACGGCAAAGTTGGCTAGACATGACTGCAAAAACTATAGGACTGTCGACTTGAAAACTACCAAACTATTCGCTCAGTTAGTGGTATGCAACCGGCAGTGAGTAAATCTTTGCGCAGTACGAGTGGTGACTTAACTGCATCGATCACTAGCCCCGCGATTTCCTCTGATGTGGACTTAACTCAGTGTCATGCGGCCCTACACCTCAGGCAGAAATTATCGGGCGATTCAAAGTCTGCGCAACAACCAGATGCCTAGAGAGAGAGAGAGCGGCAACCCTGGCTCCACAAAGTTGCTAGAAAATTCTGGGAAGATGGGGTCTAAGTGGTTAGAAGGATCGTTCATCCTTGCAAATGCCTTGGGGAGGTTACGTGTGTAAAACAAAGTGGGAGAACTACTTCGGCATAGGCCGTATCGGCGTTGATGCCAGCGCCTCAGCTATCGTCATTCCTACACAATTTCCAAGTTTGCAAGACTTGAGGGTGAGTTACAACCAAACCAGGCTCTGGGCCGTTTGTGAATGTACCGACCAAATATTCACTGCAGCACATTCCCCGACTCCACTATGGTGACCAGCATACCCCCCGCGGTACGCGTTTATGCGCTCTGTTTTTTTAGCCACTGCGCCCACATCCACCTCCAGTCATCAGAATTATTGCCTTCCATTGAGCATGACGGGTGTCGAAATAGCATCGGTCTACTCCTATACAAACAGCTTCATGCATAAGTCACTGCTACGCTTCTACCGGGACAGTGGTAGTGGTCGCTGCTTGCGACACACCGACACATATTACCATATACCTGCACAAAAGACAAAAGGACAAAACGTTCATCTTTGATGAGAATCGGGCATCGTGAGATTAGACGTAGATCGCCATGTTGGGCAGAAAAGGAAGCGGAAAGGGTTAGTTTCCCGAGAGACAGGGATGCGACGAAAAGGAGAAAGGTGGAAGAACCTAATGCTAGATGGAATAAGCAGCATGCATGCAACAGTGCTCCAACCTGAGGCATAAGTGTTTTCACACAACAGGCGCTGATGTCCGCATCGTTATGGTTGACGAGCAACTCAATAGCCGACAGACAGACGAAACGTGTAATCTGTCCGTTCAGGGTCTGGAGGTTTGGCAACGATGACGCGGAGGTGTTTGGCTCGGTGGATGCATTCTGCCAGGTTCGTATTAGGGCATCGAAGATGCCAAATTCCACGGACTCAGTACGGAAGACGCAGAGGGGGGATACAGCGACTAGGCGTGCAGCGATAGAGATTTGAGCCAGGCAGCAGGATGGCGCCTCGCCGAACTAAAGAGCAAAACACACGCGCACACAGCGTTGACACAAGAAAACAATCTTAACAATACAGGAGGTGATCTAACTCATAAAGCTTTATGACAGAAATTGATATGCGAATTTTCGGTTTCCGTGGACGTTGCATATTTTGATCACTCGTCCAGACCCCTCAAGTAGATGCCCTTTGCTTGTACAGACAATGTGTCTACGCAATTCTTTCAAGTAAAGTGTTCATAAGTTTGAGCGAAAATGGGCGTTTTGATATATTCGGGAAATTCCTCATGCTCATACCTGTCCTAGACTTCGGTTACGTATGTGAGCGTGTCTTTCTTATAGAGGAGAATAATATACCTCCGAGAAATCTACTAAACAGAGCTTAGTGCACTTGAAAATTGATTTTTTGTTTGATCCTAACTATAGGAACCAGTTCGCTAACACAGAGGTCAATTCTGGGGAACCAGACGTTTTATCGATGCGCAAAAGTCGAAGTAGCAAATCTAGGTCCATGCCCCGGTGTCGGTTTGCGAGTGATTAGCAATCACTTGTGAATTCAGGCACCTTTCATCAGATTGGTTAACTACTGTAGGCGCCTAAACTAATCTGCTGACCAGATTTATTTCCGATTGGATGAAGCTGATAGTGCAAGGAGATATGTATATGTGATTAGTCGTGTTAGGCCCGGTCACACATATCCTGCTCTCAATTTCATATCG